GCAAGCACCCTTACCAGCTGAGCCACCTCAGCAGTCCTCATGGAGCTTTTCCAGCCCTTGACATTCTGTGTCTGTTTTTTTTTTTTTTTTTTTTTTTTTCTCTCTCAGTCTGCATGTATGTGAGTGCACCCATGTCGTGCAGTGCCGCAGAGGTCAGAAGAGGGTTTCGGATTCCCCTGGAACTGGAGTTAAGGACAGTTCGTAGCTGCCAGGTGGGTCCTCTGCAAGAGCAGTCAGTGCTCTTAACTGCTGAGCCATCTCTCTCTAGCCCCTGTGTCTGTTATCTTACTGTCTCCACTACAGCATAAGCTCTCTGCGGGTAAAGGTTTTCTTTTGCTTTATGCTCTGTGTCTGAGGCAGCACCTTGCACATGGTCCTTGCTGTCTATGATCTGCTTTCCTACCCTCCTGTTCTGGGGCTTTCATGGATGGGGAGAGCCATAGATGGGGGAGTAAAGGAATGAGGACAGACGTGAACAAATGAAGCAGAGGACCGGAGGAGGGTACCAGGAAATCTGGAAAACTCTGTGGAGGATGATAAGGAGCAAAGTGAAAGGACTTGCAGAACGGCAAGCTTGTGCCAAGGGGAAGAAAAACAAAGCAGAGAAGGGAAACCCTCCAGAACGTTCAGGAAGTCTAACTGAACAAGCAGGCTGTTTCCGGGCCTACGCTGGGGCTTCAGGCAGCACTGCTTTGGGCCCTGCTATCTCTGGCCACAGTGGTATGGGCTACAGGCCAGCAGTGTAGACAGTGGGGTGGAAGGAGGAGGGAAAGACCAGGAAGCAGAAGAAAGGGGAGGAGAGACAGGCCAAAGACCAAGGGGATGCCACAGGGAATCCAGGTGACAAGCCACTGGGCAAGAGGGCGTTGAAAGTGAGCCTTGGTGCTAGATGTGGAGAGAAAGGGCCAGCAGGGGCAGCAGGAAGAGGGTGACCCGTGAGGGAGGACAGATGGACAGAGGTGGGAGGTAAGACACACCTCTAAGCCTGTCAGGCTCCTTCCTGCAGGGAAAGCAGCACCCTCTGGCTATGTCTTTGGAGTGCTGTGCCATTAATTAGTTTGTTTGCAGTGCTGTAGATTGAACCTAGGGCCTCATACATGCTAGACAAAGGCTCTATCATTGAGCTATATCCCTAGTCCACTTTTTACTTTTTTTAAAAAAATTTTTTATTTATTATTTTTATTTTATGTGTATGAGTGCATTGCCTGCATGTATGTGAGTGCACCCATGTCATGCAATGCCGCAAAGGTCAGAAGAGGGCTTTGGATTCCCCTGGAACTGGAGTTAAGGATGGTTCGTAGCCACCATGTGAGTGCTGGGAATTGAACCCAGATCTGCAAGAGCAGTCAGTGCTTTTAACCGCTGAGCCATCTCTCCAGCTTCCTTTAAAAGGGCAGCTGAAGAGTCAGCACTCATTTGTAGGTGCTGGGAATCAAACCTTTAACGTTTTGGTTGTTAGCCTTAGCCTTTAATGGCTGCACTATCCCTCCAGCCTCACTTTTTACTTTTTGAGTCAGGGTCTCAGTCTCCCAGATTGACCCTGAACTTGCTTTGTAACCCAAGCAGGCCTTGAATTTGTCATCCTCCTGCCTCAAACTGGGATTATAAATCTGTATCACCAAGTCCAGCTGGAGTCTATACCTTTTAAATTTATGCTTTTATTTTTTTAGTTTTTTTTGAGCCAGCGTCTCCCAATAGCCCTGGAACTCACTAGGTAGACCAGGCTGGCCTTGAACTCAGAGATCTCCCTACCTCTGCCTCCCTTCTCTAAGATTTTTTCTTTCACACACACAATATGTATATGAATAAATTTGTAATAATAGTAACTATTAGTATTGCTGTTGTTGTTGAGACAGGTCTCATATAGTCCAGACTAGACTTGAGTTCACTATGTAGCTGAGGATGACTTTAAATTTCAATCCTGCAGTCTTTATCTCCAGAGCATTGAGATTAGAGACATGCACTACCATGTCCCATTTATGCGGGGTATTAAACCCAGGACTATGTGCATTCTAGGTATACATTATACCAAATTAGCTACATTTTCAGCCCCTATGATTTTTTGTTTTGTTTTGTTTTGTTTCAGGCAGGGTCTCATACTATGACCCAGTGTGTCCTGGAATTCACTATGTAATCCTGACAGGCCTTGAACTCAACTGCAGTCCTCCTGCCTGAGCCTTCTGAGTGCTAAGATTACAAGAATGAATAACCATTCCTGGTGTGGAAGAGTCATTTGATAATTTGGACATGTTTAGTAATTTAATCATGTTTAGAAGGGTTACATGAAGGAATCCCCTTGAACTTGGTAACCAAATCAGAAAGAAAAAAAAAAAAATCACTCAAATTGAGTCTACCAGAATCAATAAAATCAAGTACTTTGAGTTCTATGCCAAATAGTTCAAATTAAGAGGCTATTAAAATGGAGATAAAGGGACTAGGAGGCTCCACAAGGCATATGTTTACCTCAGGCAAGTGCCTCAGCCTGATCAAGGTCATCAACTAGGATGCCCTTGGAACTGGGATGCACTGATGCAAATGCTATGGGCAGTTAAATGGACTGTCCAACGTATTCAATCTGTTTCTCTGAAGCAGGTTGTGTGCAGTCTAAAGGCCAAGAAAAAGGCATTTTTAGGTTTATCTAGGTGGCCAAAGGAAACCTTTCCTTATCCAATGGTCTCCCTGTAGCCCTAGCTGGCCTGGAATTCGCTATGCAGGCCAGGCTGGCCATCTTGATCTCTGTCTGATTCACCTGCCTCTGCCTCCTGAGTGCCAGGATTAAAGACATGGGCCACCACACCCGGCACTCTTTTTTTTGAGTGTTTTGTCTGCATGCATGTAAGTGTACCACATGTATGCCTGGTGCCTGCAGAGGCCAGAAAAGGGCACTGGGTCTCTTGGAATTGGAGTTACTGACAGCTGTAAACTACCATGTGGGTGCTGGGAACCAGACCCCAGTCCTCTGTAAGAACAGCGAGTACTCTTACCTGCTGAGCTATCTTTTCCGCCCCTCTAGACATTCTTGATTTGAAAAAAAAAAAAAAGTAGTTGAATAGAAATATTCCTTAAAAACACCCAACAACCTTTATTCTTGTTTTTGCTCATTACACTGTCTATTATTGTAAGTTGGTCTCTTTAAAATTTTTTAAAAAATATTTATTTATTTATTTATTTATTTATTTATTTGTCTTTTTGAGACAGGGTCTCCTTGTAACCCCAGCTGTCCTGGAACTCACTATGTAGACCAGGCTTGCCTCTGCTTCCCAAGTGCTAGGATTAAAGGCGTGCGCCACCATGCCAGGCTTAATTATTTTTATGTGTATGAATGTATTGCCTGTATGTAAGTGCACCAATGTTGTGAAATGCACACAGAGGTCAGAAGAGGGCATCAGATCCCTGGAACTGGAGTTATGGATGGTTGTTAGCCACCATGTGGGTGTTGGGAATTGAATCTGGCTCCTCTGCAAGAACGGTCAGTGCTCTTAACCACTGAGCCATCTCTCCAGTCCCGTAAGTTGGCCTCTTTCTGGGGATGACCACCATGAAGACTTGGAGCCACAACCCCTGTGTATAATCTGTCTGTTAAGAACAGGCAGATGCATCTGTCCATCAGCTCTGTAGTCACCTGTATTTTCAGAGGTTGTGTTCTGCTTCCTCTAGATCTGGACATCAGAAAGTGGGGATAAAGTCCAGTGATAAAACTCCATGCTTAGCCCTGCAAAGCTGTGGGCCGAAAAAGGACTCTACATTAGCCTTGTAAAGGTGTGAGCACTAGAGAGGGCTTATTTGAAGCAGCCAGCCTGTTGTTTCTTCTTTCCTTCTCTCTTTCCTACCCTCTGTGTATGTGGGTGCAGGCGCACATGCACATGTGTGGAGACCGGAGGACAACCTTGGGTATTGTTACTCAAGAGGCACTGCCCACTCTGTTGTTTTCTTTTTAAAATTTTATTCATTTATATTTTATGTCTATGAGTGTTTTGCCTGCATGTATATAAGTATACCACATGTGTGCAATGCCCATGGAGGCCTGAGATGGCATCAGATCCCTTGGAACGGGATTTATGGATGGTTGTTAGGCACCGTGTGGGTGCTGGAACCAAACCCAGGTCCTCTAACAGCTGAGTCATCTCTCCAGCCCCTGTTTTAATTTAAGACAGGAGGATCTCTCAGTGCCTCACCCAGTAGACTAGGCTGGCTGCCAGTGAGCCCTAGAGATCCACCTGTCTCTGCCTCCCCAGCACTGGGATCACAGCTCCAAGCTACCACACTCAGCTTTTTCCATGGGGGTCCTCATGCTCACATGGCAAGTACTTTAGAGACTGAGCTATCATCCCAGTCCCCAGGTTCTTCTTTTTGTCTCTTTTAGCTGCAATTAAAATGCTATATAAAGTGAAGACCACAGTGCTACTTCCGAAATAGTTTCAAGAAGCTGGTGGCAGGTCACTGATATGTCCCGCACTCTTCACCTGCCTTTTGGATCATGCCACTGTCTCAGCATTCATCCTTGCAAAGGAGCAGAGGATTGAAAACAGGACAGAGGCTGTGCTTTCCTGTGATAATCAAGGCAGCTCTAGGCAAACAGGAACAGAAGGGAGCAAAAGAAAATGGCCCCAGAGGACAAACAGGGTTTCTTCTCTGTGAGATCCAGCCAGCTTGACTGCCCTTCCTGGGGATCTGAGCCTCTTCCACTCCCCAGCTCTCTAGCCAATACCAGATGACCAGATTCAGACCTGTTCCTTCCAGTCAACATAATTTTATTCCATTTTGTATGTTTAGGTAACTCCCCAGCTGCATTCAGATTCAGATGACTCTAGCAGCTAGAGAAGATAGCTCTGCCTGCCTGTCACTATCCCAGGTAGAATAATCGCACCATGTAAGACTCTCAAGATATGCAACCTATGGGAGGGGGCAGCTTCTCGAGTTGCCTGAGAATGGCCAATGAATCAAGTTCCATCAGTCATGTAAGCATCTCTGTATGCCAAGGACAGTGAAAAACGTGCAGATCAAAGAGTTCATCTTTTATTTTAACTACACATGCTTTAGGCTTGATGCAGGGTGGCTAAAGAGATGCTTTAAGGAGGTCACCCTGAACACTGGAGTGGCCAACACCATAAAGCTACCTCAGGGTCCGCCATGTCGCCAACAGTAAAGGCACAGGTAACTGCTTTGCTGCTTTCTGCCGCCTCCTTCCATGTCCTTTGAACCAGGTAGGTCTATGGCAAGACCACAATCTTCTTCGCCAGCTTCTGGGGTGGAAACAGGAAGTTTCTCATGATGTCATCCAGTTCCTCCAGGGCCAGTTCAGCATGGAGCTTTGCTATGTCATCGGGTTCCGAACGTACTACGTGCTTCAGCAGGTGGTAGAGATCCTTGAGGACATCACTCAGCACCTGTGAGAAAGGCAGGGTCATGACCATGTGTCTACGGAGAAGAAACCCACAGGTTCCCGTGAGAAGACAATACCAGGCCCTGTGGCACTTGTCTAAGATAGGGTTCGTTGTGTATCGGACCCATGATGCCTTACTCCATGGCTTTTTAGGCTCATATTTCTAGGTCCTATACAGTATATATATATATATATATATACACACACACATATATATCTCCTAGACCCCTCCCTTCAGTCAAAGGATGGCAGAGACCTAAGGACAAAGACAGGCAGGACTCCCCAGATATAGATGCTTCCAGAGCAACTGGTTGCGGGCATTTTTCTCAGCTCTGTGATGATGCCTACAGCAGAGGCCTTGGCCTTAGGAACTAACGGGCTGCTCCTTTAGCAGTCACGCCTTTGGCCTCCCCACACATCCAGTGCTCTGCTACAGTTCCCTTTCCATCCTTCTCTCCATTCACTCTATTGATTGATTGATTGGTATTTTTTTGAGACAGGGTCTCTCTGTAGCCCCAGCTGGCCCGGAACTCACTATGTAGACAAGACTGGTTTTAAACTCACAGAGCTCCACCTGCCTCTGCCTCCTGAGTGCTGGGATTAAAGGTGTGCGCCACCACATCTGGCTTCACTCTTCCTTTTTTTTTTTTTTTTCTGGAGCTGAGGACTGAACCCAGGGTCTTGCGCTTGCTAGGCAAGCACTCTACCACTGAGCTAAATCCCCAACCCCATATTTTTTTAAAACAATATTTTATTGGCAGGGCGTGGTGGTGCATGCCTTTAATCCCAGCACTCGGGAGGCAGAGGCAGGCGGATCTCTGTGAGTTCAAGGCCAGCCTGGTCTACATAGTGAGTTCCAGGACAGCTGGGGCTACAGAGAGACCCTGTCTCAAAAAGACACCCCACCAAAAAAATTTTTTTTATTTATTATTTTATGGGTATGAGTGTATTGCCTGCATGTGTATAAGTGTACCATGTCGTGAAATGCCCTCGGAGGTCAGAAGAATGTGTCGGATCTCCTGGAACTGGAGTTATGGATGGTTGTGCACAAGACCCATGCAAACTCAAGCAGACAAAAACCCAGCACAGAACTATGGAAATGGACAGCAGGCCCCAATCTTGACAAAGAATTATTGGTAACTAATTACTCCTGGGTGAGGAAGAGCTGATCTTAAAGGGAGGGGCTCTGGCTAGGCTGACTAGACCTCAGTGGATGAGCTTGCGCTGACGGACATCTGGGGATATTAACTTGACATGATAGGCCTTAGCACAAATGACAGAATGTAGGAATTGCACTGGGGGAGGGGGCAATGGGGAAGGGAATATAAAGATGATTAAGATGTTCTGCATGAAATACACAAAAACTCAGTTAAAAATGTTTAATAAATGGTCGTGGTGGTGCATGCCTTTAATTCCAGCACTCGGGAGGCAGAGGTGGGTGGATCTCTGTGAGATTGAGGCTAGCCTGGTCTACATAGTGAGTTCTAGGCCAGCTGTGGCTACAGGGAGACCCTATAACCAAAAAACAAAAGCTCAGGGATAGTCTCAACTACCTAGTTGAATTCAGTGCTAGCATGGGCTACATGAGACTCTATCTCAAAAACAAAACAAAACAAAAAACCCAAACCAACCAACTAAACATACACACCCCCCCAAAAAAAATTAGTAAAAAACCAACAAAGCAGAGCAAAACAGAACATGGGTAAGGCCCTAAAATTAGAGTTGATGAGGAGCAGTCGGAGGAAAGGGCTTTTTCTTTGGCCAGTGGACTGGAGATGGCACATGGAAATGATGACGAGCGATAGGTGACACAGGGTCTTGGTCCTGGAGTGTTGGCCCACCACCCCTTCTCCCTCTGAGGAGCTTGATCAGCAGGAGCACTGGGAAGCAGTGCAGCACAGCAGAGGACAGGCTCTCCCTAAAAACCATCCTGGGCCTTCCCTTTCTCATAGCCTCCTCCTGCTGCCTGAGCTCTGCCTCTATGGATAGCTTTTTGTCCTGAGCAAAGCTCCTTCCCAGCTCACTGTCTTTGCACAGATTCCTACATGCTGGAAGGCCACTGCTTCCTTTCCATCCTATAGCTCCTCCTGTGCCTAGGATGCCACTTCCTTGAGGAGTCTCTAACACCCACCTCACTAAGCCTTACTATCCTTCCTTCCGTTTGTAGTCCCCATCACAATTATAATTAAGATGCCTCGTTATTATTTTATGTTGGGGATTGAATATTCTACAGTTATAAGATGTTTTCCTCATTGACCACAGTACTACTTATGCTGAGGCCACGGCCTGCCTTTTTCTCTAGCGCAGTCCCCATGCCTCATAAGTGCCTGGCACCTGGTAGATACCATAACATACTTATGAATGAGTGAAGTTGTGCATGCTCTTCCTGGCCAGCCTCCCACTGGTAATAACCTTAAATTCTAAGACCATCTACTGAAAATGCCAGTACAGTCCCACAAGGCCCTATATTGCTTAATGACCTGCTATTGTAATCTTGAAGTTCCTAAATTTGTTTTGTTTTTTTAAAACTTTAAAAAAAATTATTTTTTTAAAATTTTATGTGTATGCGTGTATTGCCTGAATGTAGATAAGTGTGCCCCTGTCGTGCAGTGCCCGTGGAGGTCAGAAGAGGCTGTCGGATCCCCTGGGACTGCAGTTACGGACAGTTGTTAGCTGCCGTGTGGGTGCTGGGATTCGAACCCGGCTCTTCTGCAAGAACAGTCAGTGTTCTTAACCGCTGAGCCATCTCTCCAGCCCCTGAATTTGTGTTTTGTACATGAAACCCAATGATACAAGGCGGCATGAATGTGAGCAGATGACACACAGGCACTCGGGTGTGCACCACTCTTCACCAGTGCATGGGCCACTGTGCCCATGAACATGGCATTCTGACAGACTTAACTGTGTAGGAGTTCAACAAGACTGAAGCAAGTAGTGGGGTCAGTATGTCTTATTTTTACAACTGAGCAAGAAAAAGGCTTTCTAAGAAAGACAGATGGGGCTTGAGAGATGGCTCAGAGGTTAAGAACACTGACTGTTTTTGCAGAAGACCTGGATTTGAATCCCAGCACCCACATGGCAGCTAACAACTGTCCGTAACTCCAGTCCCAGGGGATCCGACAGCCTCTTCTGTCCTCCGTGGGCATTGCACGACATGGGTACACTTACCTACATGCAGGCAATACACTCATACACATAAATTAAAAATAATAAATAAAATATTTTTTAAAAAGACAGACAGACATATGGCCACAGAGCTCTATAGAATACCCTTTCATACTCGTTTACTTCTTTGTTTTAGAACATTTACACTCAAAATGATGATGTGGAAGGAAGCAGAGCAGCTACAGTCCTTGCTCCTTCGGGTCCTGATTATCATGCAGAAAGGTACACAGCATGGGTAGCAGGTGCATGCATCATGAAGGGGAAAAAAAACCAGTTGCGTTCATTTGGTGCAGTTTCTGCTATGCTGCAAAGAAGGAAATGCATATGTATGCACAAGCTGTGGAATACAAATTATGTAGTTTTGGTGATTTTGTGTACGAGTTAAAGACTCTTATTATTTGCATTTAAGATTGACATTTGCATAGAGCAAAGATGAGCTGTAAAATTCATGCTAATAATTTTAGATTTAGTTTTTCTTCTATTTAGAACAAAATTAATGACAAGCAATAAACATGAGAACAAGTCAGAGACAGGAGCTATGGATGGAAGAAAGAGAACTCTGTATTTAATGACCTATAATGGCACTTTTCTCCCTCTTTTATTTTAAATTTATGTGTATTGGTGTATTGCCTGCATGTGTGTAAGTGCACCTGTGTGGGCAACGCCCTTGGAGGTCAGAAGAGGGTGTGAGATCCCCTGGAACTGGAGTTATGGGCAGTTGTTAGGGAACCCTTGGTCTTCAAGAGCAGCCAGTAATCTTAACTGCTGAGCCATCTTTCCAGCCCCACTCTTCTCTCTTTAATGGGGGGCTCTGCATTTTGATTTTGCACAAGGCCACACATATTATACAGTCAGTTCTGCCAAGTCTCAGTGCTCCTTATCCAGTATCACTCCATTAATCCCAAGTCCCATGATCCAAGCTCCCCAAGATGCTGTCCGGCACTTTCTCAGGGCACTGCAGTGACACAAGGGGAGTTAGGTCTCAGCACAGGCATCCCTCCTGCCCTCTAGTAACCTATCTTAGGGTGAGGAATGCCTTTCTTTCCTCAAGGAAGTTCTTATCTTTCCTGGCAGTGAAAATGAGATGATTCTGGGAAGAGGATGACTCTCCACTGCTACTGCTTCAAGATTACTCACTCATTCAGTAATCACTATTAAGGGCCTGCAGCATGTCCAGGCAGTATGCTGGGGGGAGAAAGATGAATAATCCACGAACCTATCCCTCTGACAGCCACAGCCCAGCGGGAAGGCAGGTTCACAGCCACACAGCATGGTCTCTACTCTGAAAGGTAAATGCAGTGCACTTTATTTTCTAGAAGCAAAGGAAGTCATTTTACCATTGGGAGTTGGTTAAGGGCAGAGGAACAACACCCTGCCTGCGAGAGGGGCTTCACTGTGACATTTATTAGGTGGCACCAAGGAATGACTTGGGAAGTTTTAGCAAAGCCCCTCATCCCCAAGCCACCTCAGATAAAGTAGTTTCTACATAAAAGGAATTTAAAGACAAGTCCCTTACATTCTTTGTGATGGATTATAGTCCAAAGCATCCCACATACAGAAATTCTAGAGTTCCCACTTTTTATTACAGGATCATCTTTTCTCCCCCTGGAGAAATCTGCCACATAGTTAGAGGTTAAGAAGTTTCTTTTTCTTTTCTTTCTTCTTTTTATTTTTTTGAGATAGGGTTTCATGTGTCCCAGGTTGGCCTCTTAACTCTCTTACTCTCTCAAAGCTTTAGTTAATTTTTGACGTTATATTTAGTGTGTGTATATGTGTATGGGTGCACACATGCATGGCACATGTATGGAGGTGGGAGTCAGTTCTCCTCCACTATGTGTG